ATTGGATTGCAGAGAGACACAGGATTGGCTGCGGCCAGGTGGTCCAATATGTCTGCGCCCTAATCCGACGCCACACCACAGCCACAGCACACCACACTACGCTATAATATACCTGGCTTATGATGATGAATGGGCAGGCTGGCGTTACAGAGCAAGGTTGTTTTCTCATGTATTTTTTAGATCATTCCCTTTTTTCTCGTGATGAAGTATTTGTGGTTCTGTAAATTTGTCAATACATGTATTTTCAGCCTCGCGTTTGTAAATTATTTGATTGTTAAATTTTCGTTGCTTCGTTTATTGCCTTTATATGTCTACTTAGCTATCTTATGTTTTAACTGTTACATTAGTTGTACCTTGTGGTATAATGTCTGCTGTAGGCCCTTTGCTAATATATTTTTTTTGTAAATGCAACTTTAGTTTTAAGACTACTTGTTCATAGATCTAGTAATATTCAAGTCCGCTTAATTTTGTTCTAAATTTCTCATTTTAAAGCGGTGTTCCGGATAAATAGCCATGTATCATGGAATCGTAGTCCTTTTGTGGCTGATGATTGCTATGTATAGATGTAATGTCGATCGCGTTGAAATAACCGACCATGTTAATAGAATTTTGGGCATGGTAGTTAACCATTAATTTTGTCAGCTTTAAGTATATTTAATTAATATTTTTCTTTTAAGCTATCAGCACTAAGCCCAGCATTTATTGCCTGTGCTAGAAGGAAACTTAAAATCCTTTGAAAATGTTAATTTCCTTCACTCTGTGTTAAAATTAATCTCTACCCAGCAGCCGCAAATAAAATTGTGTCCGATTCGAATTTAGAGTAAATAAAACGTGATACTTTTCATATTTTGAAAGTAGTGATCACAACTATTAGACTATTTTAAGGTGTTTGGAAGCAAATAATGCTTCACTGTGTTCTTGAATATCTGGCAATTTTCTGCTTTTTGTTTTGGGTTTCATTGATACTGTTTATCTGAAGTTATACATATTTGCCGCCGGTCACAAATAATCTTTTTTAATCCATCGTTACCGATAAATGAATAAATGATTTGTTGCTTAAACGTCTCACAAGTAGTATTGCTGTGCAATCCACATAATCGTAACGGTATTTTAGTTTTCCATTTAATAATTGTAGTCCTAAAGCTCTATAGATAAATTCCCACAAGCTAATGCCTTTTTATTTTTAAACTGTTTCGGCGCACTTTTACAGGACACTGTAGTGTCAAGAGTGTCTACTGATCTTTAATGTGAACGTGTTATTTCCTCCTTTGTGTTCTTGTCAGCAGTCCACGTTTTTACCTCATTAACCATTCTACGATTGTTTGCGCCAATGATATCTGACATGTTTATAATGCGTTATTAAATTGTCGTTATGTTCCTATTTTCTAAAGGTCAGATTGGGAATACGCCTACCTGGTATTATGATGATGTAAAAGTAGCTTGCGATGATTCAGGCATCGAAGGTAAGTCATCAGTTACACAATACAAAATTCAGCGGACCACTTGTCATGCGTCCAGTTTGATGGAAGTGGAAATTTCCTGGCAGTTGGTGATCGTGGCGGTAAAATAACGGTGTATCGAACATCAAAACAGGTAGTGCAGCGACATAAACGGTTATGTCTATTTTTATTAGCAGCAACTTAGGTGTTAGTACCTCACAGTACTTTCGTGATTAGTTTAACTTAAATTGTTTTTTTCACAACAATGTATTGCCTAAAAGTCTTTTAATGCCAGCGTGCTCTCGTTGCATTTCAGGTTGAAAACTCGATATTCTTTATAGTATGTTGATACAAAGACAGTACTATGTAATGTGTCACATTGGAATTTGCCATCGAAAGACCGGACATGTTATTTGGTTGACTTTGGAGATTCTTACGTCATGTGGTATTTATCTTAATCAATCAATTTCAAGCAAACTTGCGAATGCTCTTAAATGTACAAAAATTAAACTGCGATCGGAGTTCATTATTCCTTGTTTAAAGAAGTAATGGCACACTAGTTAAAATTTGAACTTGACACATTGCTGCCTATTTACTAACCTCAGGCATTGATGCGTTCTTTGGTTTTAATCGTTGTGGTATAACTTGTTTGATGGTCAGTTAAGAGGGTTCGGTGCATATGTCGCGAAAACATACCGGTATTTCATTCAAAAATTTAAAGTCACGGGGTTTTTCCCACAGTTTGCCACCAGAGGATCGTTTATTATGCTGGACCTATACGCTGCCCATGCCAACAGATCCAGTGACAGACTATCAGGATCTCAGTGCACCTGGTTATAGCGGCCGATTGAATTTATTGGCTCGTTTTCATGATTCCAGACCAATATACTGTGAAATCTCAAGTCTTGCATTGTTATTTTATTAATGAATAGGTAGTCAATTGAACTTGATTGCACTATTCACCATTGCTTTGGATCTTAATATAGCTCGAATATTCTTGAAAATAATCCTCTCTTATTCACAATCCTTTATGTCCTAATTGTAGACTACAAAATATGAGAACCCCGTCTATGAGACCTACTGCAGCTTCACAAGTCATGAATCTGAATTTGACTATCTAAAGTCTCTTGAAATTGAGGAGAAAATAAATAAAATTCGCTGGTTGCCCCAACAAAGTCAGGCCAGGCACCTGTTATCAACAAATGGTAAGTTTGAACTAAATTTATTCACACTTAAGCCCTGAATTTATAGTTTTGTTTGTACCAATAGTGAATTTTATCTGCCGCTGCTGTTTTAAATAAAGATCCGAACTTGAATAAATGTGCATGACTGTCAGTAATTGTCAAAATAGCTTGCCGAAACCAAAATTCCCTGTTTTAGGCTTTATTATGTCCGAAGCACGCATTTTGCACTGGCGGACTTGACCCCTCGAATCAGTAGAGGTATCGTGATTGATGTGGGGCTAGAGCCCTTGGTTCTGGTGATGTATGCGAACCCCGGGGAGTGAATAGCAACGCGATCACGAATTTACATTGTCGGCAATTTTCGCTCCCTATGATTGTTCGACTTTTCCAGGTACCGCCGCAGTAATTTTCATGCTCCGCTGATATGGTATTATGAGTCAAGCTTCGTTAAAATGTCTGCCTGTTTTAGCATCTCAATTAATTTTAACAACTAAAAATTTATTTCAAAGTATTTCAAATGCTTGTCAACTTGTGTAATAATCTCTCTCTTATAACTAAACCAACCAAATATTCGCTCCTTCAAAATTTATCTAGCAAATTTACTTGTAGTTATTTTAAATTACTACATTGCTCATATTTTGCTGCTTACAATTATACTCGTATTACTTTTGGATTTCGCACTATAGGTGTTATGCATTTTTAATGTATTTTGTATGTTTTAATTTGGCTGTTACTTACATCTTAGTGAATTAAGTATCTTTAAACCGGCTGACTTGCTTTCTTGGGATCACAGTTGTCACGGTTTGTACGGCCTAATTATTTTGGGCTGGAGTCATGTGTCACCACTTATTTCATCTTGGTCCTCATTGTTTGAATCCAACTGAGCAAATGCGCTCTCAGCTACTCTTAAGCGTAATGAGCTCATGGATTCTAATTACTGATTTCTTGTTTAGGGATTTGCAGGTATGGTTAGCAAAGAGGACACACACGTACACGCGCCAAGCGATTTTATTAGGTTTCGGAATTAGCATCTGCGAGGACCCCTTTTCAAATCGCTTTGACAACCGCTTTCGCCTACCTATTTTTCCATTTTAATCCTAGTAACAACGAATAATGATATGTGCTTCAGAAACTGCTTGAGGACATTTTCCCTCCAGCTACATTTGTGATACTATTTGCGTTTGCAGTCGTTTTCCTTAGTCAGCAGTGATTCTGATTTTATCCGGTCTACCACATGTGGTTCATGCCGTTTTATTTTTTGTGCAATTACACAGGTCAGTTTTTTGCATGTAAAAAGGTTGATTCCACTTAATATGGGAATTTGCCGTAAAAGCCTCGTAGTAGAGACTTCGAGGCTTTGAAGCTAGTCGGAACTCAACAGGTTATTCGGTTACCGTGATCATTCATCAGAGACCGCTGACCTGGCACTAGGCTACTAGCTATTCAGTATCTTGTTTTCACATGATAAAGTAAAAATTACGGATCCCTATCTGAATTCAAATGTCTGTACTTTTAGCACATCAGCTACTCCATTCGGAATATTTGTTACAACTCAGCAGTTATTCTTTCTCTGTCAAGATTTTGACCCTCCTGTTTATATCTGCTACATCTCTTCAAGACTGCATTCCACAATTGTGTTTTTCATGCTAACTAATGAGTGTCTGTCTATTGCGAGCATCATTCCCTCCTCTTAAGCTGTTCTGAAATCAAGTAATTTAAAAATCAACTATGAATGGATAACTTCAACCATCATTCCTGTCTACATGTTCCAATCTTCGAAAAACTGAAATTTCATCTAGCTTCAAATGCGCTCTATCCCAACCTGCGACTGTCAACTTGTAAATTTAGGCATTGCCAAGACATAAAATGATGAATAAAATATTTAAACTGAAATTTCTGTTCCCAATTTTTAACGTATTTTATGTGCAGACAAAACCATCAAGCTCTGGCGATTATCAGAACGGACAACTCGAGCGACGGGCTACAATCTGAGGGGAACGTGTGATGTCTTTGAGGAAACCTATGATGAGGAGTACAATTTGACAACAGCAGCCTCTCAGGGTGATACAACTAAAACTAGGGTTCAAAACGCGGGTAATCTACGGGTGCCCAAGTATGAGCAGCGAGCCTCTTTGTTGGTGGAAGCAAATCCTAGACGGGTCTTCGCCAACGCCCATGCCTACCACATAAACTCCATTTCGATAAACTCAGACCAGGAGACCTTTTTATCCGCCGACGATCTCCGAATTAATCTGTGGAATCTGAACGTCACCAACCAGTCCTTCAGTATCGTTTTCCTTACGCTTTTTCGTTATTTTTTTTGCACCGTTAAATATCATCTTCTCAAATAGCATAAGCGCTTTATTCATTTTTTGTTAAGTTTGGCATCGTACCAACAACTAAGTTTAGGTTTCATTGTGTCGATCAAAAGCTCTTTAACTGCTCCAACGTCTGTAGTTATCATATGCTTTACTATGTTTTTGCTTTGGGCTATAGTTAGGTGTGTTGCAAATGTATCATTTCATGTTTAACGTCTGGACACCATTCATCCCGTAAATGTTAAGCGTCTGAACGATGCATTTGGATTAGACGCTCGATTCCTGTTTGACAACGTGTTAATTTAATTTCTCAAGTTTATCTCACTTTACCAAAAACCTTAGCAGGAAAATTTTGTTCGCATTTAAAGCAATATTAATCCTATTAAATCCTTTATTGGCCCTTAAATACCGATCCCGTTATGTAGATATTGTTGACATAAAACCAACAAATATGGAAGAGCTGTGTGAGGTGATTACAACAGCGGAATTTCACCCAACCAGTTGCTCCCTCTTCATGTACAGCAGCAGTAAAGGTATCCTCCGTCTATGTGATATGCGTCAGCGGGCCCTCTGCGATAACTGTACACTTAGTAAGTATCTTGCAATTTGTATCATTGATACAATACGACGTACCAAGTTCTTATGTTAACACTAATTCTCAGTTATCAGCAAGTATCTTATTCCCCTACCATTGACTTGAAGGAAACTCTCTCCATTATTTATAAATGCATCCAAGATAACAGTCCGCCTCCGTCATAGTTGACGTGGATTAGGTACACTCGTCCTGGTTTGTTGCACAGCCCATTGTGTGTTTTACTATGTACCTCAACGACAGTGCTTTTGTATGATGACATCCCTAAAACTTAAGTCCTGAGTTGGGGATACCGGATCTGCCGGGACCTCAACTAGTTGACTTAATAACGAAAAAAAATACTTCAACCTTAGCAGGAGACCATTCCTTGCACTGCGTAAATGCCAATGCGCCACCTTTTAGATCGCATTCGTCTTACGTACTGCTTTTATCTTCCTTAGCATTCCATGAACAAGATACCTCCCTTAACCGCGGTTTCTTCTCCGAGATCGTCAACAGTATTGCAGACTTGAAATTCAGTAACTCTGGTCGCTATGTCCTAAGTAGGGACTACCTCACGCTCAAAGGCCAGTTTCCTATAATAACACTCAGTTCATTAAATTTGGAATTGTTGATTGGAATGTTCGCAAGCCACCACCAGGAGTCTATTACATGGCTCAACAGTACTTTGGAATAATGCTCTTGGTGTTGCCACTGGGACTACTCAAATATGTCACCAAATTGGCTAAACCTTTTATGTCACACTGCCTCAAATCGTTACTTTGCACAGTCGGTTAATATCACCGCTTTTATACACTTGTGTAGGAGGCCACCATGAAGGGTACCAATTCGGTGCAGCAATGGATCCGTTTTTATCAATGCATGCAACCAGGCCCTCAACTTAATGGTATTGAAACCATTCATATTCGATACCTAGTCTAAATGTCCGTCCCCTAAATGGTATCCACATAGGATCATGTGGAGTGTCTTGAACTCCTAGCAAAAATGTCTAGTTCTTCGCAATATTTGGTATTACTCAGAATGCGTGCACCCAACCCTCTGGATGTTTGTGACCCACGTTACTTTCTGTTTTAGTTTGGGATCTTAACATGACCGACAAGCCCATAGAGGTCTATCAGGTTCATGATCACCTCAGGAGCAAATTTGTCGCCCTCTACGAAAACGATTGTATCTTCGACAAATTCGAATGTGCCTGGTCTCCCGGTAACAAGTATGTTTTTTAAGTGGTACTTTGCGTCGTTTAATGAGAAATGTTCATTTCGTATACAACACGTGCCATGAATCGCGACAGCGAAGCAGGTCACCAAGTGGCGCATGAATTCACTCCACAGTTTTGAAATTCGCTATGCATTTTTAACGCTGTATGCATTTTGTGTCTAATTTAATTAATGCTCGATGTTGTACGTGATCCTTCGAAGAGCACCCAAACCCATGTATTTACGATTTGTTGTGAATCTGCGCACTTTCCTGTGCCCTTTCTGTCAGCTGAATGCCTTAAATTCATTGCGCTTGTAAAAAGTGCTATTGCCCTTGAGTGGGTGGGCTCTACCGTTCAATGTGCAACCTGCATTCATTTTAGCTTTTTTGTTTCTTTGGATCCATATTACAGGTGAATTACTGAAATCTCCAGCCACTGACTCGTTGCATACTCACCACAGTATCACAAACTCACTTCACGCTTTCACGCCCATATTTTTTACCCACCAGTTGTCTTCTTTGAGATAGAGTCAGTGAAAAAATGGGCCATGGCGCACTTAAGTTCGCACAGAGAATGGATGTCTGCCGTTGCCTGTAAAATATCTAATTCTTATCACGTTTACTGCAATTTCCTTACCATTTATTTGACTTCAGCTACGTTCTAACTGGATCCTACAACAACCTCTTCCGCATTTTTGATCGATCAACAGGGAAAGGTGTCTTCAACGAAGTGGACAAGGCATTCACTTCCACACTGACACAACCTCTGCGAACTCGAGAGGTAACATGTGACTCCGTTGCGCCTACTGCCGACCAGATCAGTGTCGACGCCATCGATTTCACGAAGAAACTGCTTTACCTCATTTGGCACCCTAATCTGCCGCGCATTGCAATGACCAGCAATGAAAACCTCTTTCTGGTCTCAGCACATAACCAACTTTGATGGAGTGGCTACCGTTCTACTTGTACAATATGTCTATTGCGCCACTTCGTTTGTGTATGTATGTGCATGGGCATTCCAGCTGTGCTCCGATTTCCACCACCAAACATTATTTATATCTCACATTTTTTCTATTCCTTCTCTGTGGTTTCAGTCTATACCACTAACAAAGTGAGTGAAAACGGGCGCCACAGTTCGAGTATGGGCTTATTTTTGAATGCCAGTCGTGCGTTTGATCACTTGAGACACTGCTATCTCGAAAATTTACGTGAAGACAATGTTTTTCAAATTGCCACTCGGTTACCATAGTTAGTATTCGCAGAATGTATGGGAATTCTCACAGGATTTCCTGGGCGTTAATTGGTGTAACGAGGCTTAAATCCATTCGGAAGAGGGGATGCGATCTGAGTTTTTCTGTTGGTCTAGACAATCGAGTGCTGGTCATTGGCCCCTACAACTCATCAAGTTCTCAGTCTTTTGCGATTGTGATTGCCTACAATTTTTCTCCGAGTTTAGGCATAATGAGAATTACTGAAAGGCAAACACGACGGATTTGTTGTGGAATTCTAAGCTTCGTCGCACATGAGCACAGTTAACTTGCAACACTCATAGGGGTTGATTAGGGCAAAATTAGCAAACGTTCACAGGGGGTGAAAACATTAAGGCCTACATAGGTGGGTGCAGACTGCGGGGTAAGCTGGAATCGGCCAGAGTTCTCACCAACTGATCTAACTGGGCGAATTGGGAATTGAAACTCCCACTACCTACATTTGTCTAACTTTTAGATTGGCGACAAAGAAAACTAAGAGCGTGTAAAAAACGTCTTGTAAGTTATCTTGGCAAAATATACAGCACTGCCTATGATGCATTACTTTGCTGTATTTTCAAATTACCATGACTTTAGGTCGGTCTTTCTAACATTGATAAAAAAAAGCTGTTTCCAAACGCAAAATCATTGGTGGCAACCTTGGAAACGAACAGTATATCCTATGGTGTGAAATGGCATCGAACCTGCGACGATATCCGGCAAGATGCTTGAAAGAGAATCACAGGCTACTTAAGCACAAGAATGTGCAGGGGGACACCAGATCAAAGAGCAGCCTCATCCAGTCACGAACAGGCACAAACTGACAGTCAATCTGGCCATAGGCTAGAGGGACGTAACGTCAAAGGCTGAGCGCGTGGGAAATTGAGCATGCGCACCAAACGAAGATGTTCCAGATGAAAAGATACTTTGTGGGATTTTAATAAGGTATGTTATACGAAATCACCTGGCAGTCGATACGAAATTTCCCATGCAAGGCATTTAAGAATAATTATCGAGCTTCACATTTAAAATATTGCAAAACGTATTGCATAATGTGCGAAGCCGATCATAGCCGAAAGTCATTTAGGGCCAATGAATGACTGATTATTAGCCGTTATGATGCTCCAGTTACGAAAACTTAAACGGCGTTAGTTCATGAAATCGTTCTATGTAGAAAATCAGCATCGGCAAGAAAAACAATGAAGGTTTCACAGAAAATTTGATACGATTTCAAATGTGTGACTAGAAGTATAACGTCAAACAAAAAAGTAGGATCAAGGGAGCAGTACGAGAGACATCACTGGATGATCTAGCATCAAATATGTCGTATGAAAATCATCGCTCCCTTGTTAAGACTCAAGGCATTGTTGTGAGCATAAACGCATGCCAAAACAGTTTTTGTGACACAGAGTCAATTTTTTATAAGGCACGATATAGGGTCGACAACAATATACTACGCGAGAGCTAACGCCAAGTTTATGCCAATCCCATTACGACATGATTCAAGCAGTAATGATAGGCAATTACCAACTCACATGACAAGGCATCGAGTTCTAGACAGGATTTTAGTCCGATACCTGATTAACGAGTTTTCCAATTAAAATCAGTAACTGCGAGTAGATGAAGTGGCCCACCGGTACATGGTGTAAAAACGTGCAGGAGTTTCAGTGAAGTCTTTACAGTTATAGGTGAGCATGCCGGGCATACATATCCTCAAAAGTGTATCCAAAGTGCTTGGCACCAAAGAAGTAGACACTTCCATAGATGGTTCCAACAGTGAAACCAATCAGTGATCCTACCAAAATTGGAACAGGGCCGCGAGGGAGGCAGAAGAGGCCAAGGGTGATACCTACAAAAAATTATTTATTTTATATGACATGCACACCACTACAATACTGAAAAAAATGTATTCCATAATTTTTTCGGCGAATTAACCACATAGGTCTACCGGATAATCGGTCTCAAACACTTGGTCAAACTCTCAAGCACACAAACTGGGTTTTCACGTAATTTACATATTCAGAATATTGACAGTTTCGGGAAGTCTATCACAGCGAGGGAAAGATAACCGTGGGGGAAAAGGTTTGATGCATTCGCACAAGTTAGGCGTCATCTTAAAATATGTGTACCAAAGCCATCTAGTACTAACCAGCAACGTTTTAAATTTCGTGAGGTTAGTTGACCGATGAAGGTCGGCAACAATTAAAAGGTAATATATGCAAAAAGTCTCAGAGGAAAATTATAAAGCCCACCGAAACATGCACTGTGATCCCAGAAGCTTGTTTTACCACGAAATGCAGATACAATGAATGGGAGATACCTGAAATTGGGAGCAAATAACTGGTAATAAATTTCGTTGTCATTTAGAACGCTACGAATAAAGCAAGGTTAACTTTGAGTCATGAACTTACAGGAAACCCGTGGTTATGAAAAATGACTTCATGCCCACACCGACTGCTAATTTAGTAGAAGTCCACATCACATGGTCAAAAGCCTGTCGCTAGGAGGCAATAAAACAATGGGCAAAAAAGGTTTTGGCAGCCACTTTAATTATGTCTGCACCTTGCAGTATAAACCCAACGAAGACGCCATTTAGCCATCACGGGTAAAGTATGAATACAAGTCTGCATCTTTGAGGTGCCATCTTACTCTTTCAAGTTGGCAATTTAATAGTTGAAGGGCCTAAGAGAGATGTAACCCACGCAATGTGTTAAACTCCCGCCAGCGATCGCAATAAAAGAGGATGGACACAATATAGGAAGAAAGAATCTAAATACTGGTAAAAAATTTTTATCCAACTGAAAAGTATTACTTTGTAATTCTTTCATCACGACGCCGATAAAAGGAGTCACTTAAGTTTCGACCAAGAGAATGTAGAAGGGCGTTCACAGAAAACAATAACTCACGACAGTGACTCGATACAAGGCTCGGCTTACGGCGGAAGCCCACTCATATTGCTACGGATTCAAATCATACGTGCAGGTATTACCTCTACACGAGGTAAATACTTGGTTTTAAGGGACCTCAACAGATTACCAACGGATTTAACTGAAACAATATCGACTTTAAGATGGTGAATTCAGTATATGCTCTAAAGTTTCCCAAAATATTGGTTGAAGAAATACACACGCACTTACTTTGGCCATTTCGCGCGTTCGCCACACGGTAAGCTGGTTGGCCTGGGTAAATTGGTTAAATATGCCTGGCGCACAAATGCAAGCGGCAGTTGTTCCTGCCACAGCGCTCGCAATTACAGGGAGAGCACGGAGATGTCGACTGACTTTAGCCAGATCACTGTCATCAGATTTTCTGGAAGAAAAAAGTGCCACCTCACTTTGCGGAAAGTGGAAGGGCCCTGGTCAGGCAGATTCGGTCGAAGGAAGTAGAGGAGCATAACAAGAAAGTTAAAAATAAGTTAAATTATTCAATAAAATAGTACGTAAGCTTACTCAATCCAAATGCTATCTACGACCCTCTGTATGGCCGTAGCCCTGTAGCCGTATCGACTAAAGAGGAAGGTGGCACCATCAAGAGAAGGGGGAGCAAACATCCGCGATTCGCCACTGCCTTTTCCTGCAAGTAGCTCATCCCGAAAATGCAGGGTCTTGTCAATTTCCTCGTCTGTTTGTCCCAGTGATTCCTGATCCTCGTCGCTCAAAGGTTCTAGCACCATGGCACTAAAGAATATAACAATAATGTAATGACATCTAGGACAATCAAAAAAATGATACAAACCACCCAACTAGCACACTATCTTGTATTAACCTTTTTACCACGCCGCTCTATTTCAAAATATATTTTCTGCATAACGCCGTAAACAAATGTTAGATTTTTCTAATCCGAACTTAGACTCACTCGATACTGGTTGCCCAATTGTCTAAACATTCTCATAAGATATATAAGTGAATAATAATACACTATTAGTCCCGAAAAGCGTCAGATCAGGCTTGGCCGTATTGACGCAAAAATTACTGGAAACAGGACGCGAGTGGCCAAACTGGGATAGCACGCTCAACTACAGCCTTGGAAAGCCACAATTAATAATAACCATAAACGCATTGGGTGATGCTTGAAAAAGTGCAATAAGTGCACATAATCCTGATTTTGTCTGTTCCAACTTCAGTATACACATTTTGAGTAGATAAGAAAAAAAAACAAACAGGCTATACAGATTTGCAGGTCTCAAATCATCTGCAATGACACTATGGGGCTCAGCTGTATTTTCGAGAGGCGCTTCGAGGCATGACACTATCAATTAACTTATCCATTGCTTCAAACGATTTCCCTTGATTGAGATAGGTAATTTTCGACTGGAAAAAGTCTACCGATAGAAAGGATGAAACATCGTTATTTGACGCCAGGCTATTTTAATGTGGAATGAAACGTCAACAAGAATGTTTGCAATAAGGAACTGGGTTTGGTTTAGTGATAGAGTAGAGCACTCCCATGTGCTGGAAATTCTAGAGAATGAGGTTTCAAGCCGCAAAAACCAATAACACCTAACAAGGTGACTTCAACTCGAGAAGACGAACGGTGAACGGGACAAACCTCCCCAATCGACCGGAAGACAAATCACCAGTACATGGCATCACTGATGTTATGGCACCAAACATAATCGACATTGAACCTCTAATAGATAAAGCAAAAGGTTGAGAAAGCTAGGTTTGAGGTCAAACAACCCCACGACACTCCATTTGCCCACGGGTGCAATAATCAATTAGGAAATGGAAAAAAGTTGATCTACATGCTTCACTTTCAGCACCTAATAAGCTCAATTCATTTGGGACCTCCACGTCCTTCGTGAGTGGTGCGTGGAGAACCGCGCTGTCTAACGTCAACCAAAATATTTCAAAAGTGGAAGAATTCATTTTTTTAGCGACAGGGCCTTTCGTCTTTTTTTCACAAAGTTTATTCCAATATTAAATCACAGCGTTAGGTGGAGTATGAACATCTACACCAACCACCGAATTTCAAATTGAAGCAGAAACGTGTATTAAATTTCGGAAACCTTTTGACTTACCTATTCGCGCAACAGTACAAGCAACACTACTCGGATAAGACAGTCAAAAACTCAATATTATAAAAAGGAAGTCATTTTTTATTAGAGCAAAGTTTCCAAAATATTTCAGAAGCGGTGTGTACAAATGAGGTGCACACATAACTCGAAAAATGGACTTGAACAAGAGAGGGGCCTCAGCCCTTAATCACGCCGATGGGACGCAACTTCAAAACCTTTGAACTTATTCCAGCTTCTTGACCTAAAACAATAGAATAATGATCATACATAGGAGGTAATACATGAATTGAGATTTTTTAAACAGGGGTCCCCGTTAAAAAATGTTTCAGAAAAAAACTTCAATTACTCTTGACGACGTGTGCATTGGGAAACCAGGCAAACACGGACACATCGTTAGACACTGCAGGCACTCATCTGCCCAGTGTTTTCTTCACACACATGAACCTCAAACATGAGCGATGCAAAAACTGACAAGTGATAAGCGCGATTTACCCTAATTTTGATAAATTTTCACTAATTGCACATTGGGGTTTCATAAAACCACGCTCGGGAAATTTTTTTGCTCCGTACATGAGTCATGCCGAAAGCCGTTCTAACAAAGCAAGTTCATTCAAACGGTCCTGGATTTAAGCAGCTGCCATTTACTCTACCATTGGAAAATACACAGTTATGAAGCAGCTCTCATTCAAGCGATATTTTGTATCCTCGTAGCTTTACAAACGATAAGGTTAAGAAACGGAACAACATTATCAACTTATGCAAAACAAGTGACGGGATAAGAAATTTGGATCGACAATAGCAAGAGAGCATTGTAATTTTGATGCGTTAGATGAAATAGCCGCCAGGCGGTGAATTTAAATTGCTCACAAAATGAGATCACAGAACTGGTGCTGAGAAAACTAGAACATATATTGCTGACTTGCGGATATAAAACGAATTAGTGTGTGTTCACCTGAGAAGGATTGATAACAAGGACGACGCAAATGCAGCGACGCGTACAACAACACTTAACACTGTGATCAATGGACGCCTGATGACCGATTGGATGGACGATAATTTTGTCGAAAGGGGTGCAGCTGCCTTAGCTCAAGGTAGAGCTCGAAACGGGCCAACTGGGCCGGCGGCTTGGGGAAATGTTCTGACATTTACGGAGGACGGTATGGAGTCAAGGCAAAGCAGTCGACCATTGCGCTAATTCATCTTACTGTATTGAACAGTGGCACACATGTTGATAAGCAAGGCTCATAACAATTTTAATCAAGTGATGAGACGGACCTTACGAGTTGTTTGACATGAACTTCTTCCAATTACACTAGGTTTTTAAATGATGCACTGTAAGTCTTATTAATGAATGAAACCTAAAGCAGATTGTCAGTATCCGCATAAACTCACCAGGATTGTTAATAGTGACACCTTGTGACTTCAAAAGCACCCATTTTAAAATGACGATGCTAGTTAAATCATAAGTTCAGTCTTTCAAAATGTACTTCCTCTAGTGGAAAGGTAATGAAAGCACTTTAAGTTGGCATGATACACCCGATCGATTTGTTCAAAACGGGATTCTTAGTAAAAGAAAAGAAGGGTTAGAAAAATTACACGTATTGACAACATCCGTGACGTTTTTATACGATTCCGGTGCTTCTTCCATAACCAACTTCGGTGAGGCGACACGAATGGAGATGCCCTTCTGGGCGAGATTTTCCAATACGTCGGAGTACTCAAGAGTCCTTCTTGATTTGGCGCGAGATATCGCACGACCCTACAAGAAAATTTTTGATAAAACGATCATGCTGCATTGTAAAAAGTGTTTTTCACCAAGAATAACGACATGGAGTTAAACAGTGGTAGATATCAACATAAGATCACAAACCAGCAATTGCGTAAATAAGACTACCAGTAGTATGTCAGTCACGATTATTTACGTCATCAGTTCTAGTGGCAATTATGACATGAGATTACGAATCACAAAGCGCAAAATATAAATTTAATTTTAACATCTCTAACTAGACATGGAATTTTACTAAATAATGCACCATAGCACTTTCATAGGGCCTCGCAAAATCAACAGTCAATACAACGAGTTCCAGAGGAGCCAGTGTATGAAGTAACTACAAAGCATAACTCACAGCACCATGGCAAGTAGATCCAAAAGTTTCTGCCATGGCTTTGTCTGTGCCTGTAAGGACGTAGCTGCAAGTGCCCATAGTTCCACCAATTAGAACGGGCTGCCCTGTCAGCTGCAAAACAATGAAACATTTAAAATCTTGGTTTCGTGAGGGGTGTAGAAGAAGAGGTATTCTAACGTGGATATCTCTAGTGGGACATAATTAAATTGGGTTCTGTTAGATTTACAAGGGCAAACCATCGTAGCAATACAAAAAAACTGCAGACCATTTCACGAAAACGACTTGTACGCAAACTGATGACTATGCTAAATAATATGATAGCTGACATTGAAGTATTATCAGTGCATGACATTTCTGTTCAATGGCTTTAAATCAAGACAATCCATGTGTAAGCAAGGAAGCATTAGGTCATGTTTAAAGCCATCGTCACTGTTGACACCTCGTTAGCGCATACACAAATAGCAACCTACAGACGGGAAGACAGGTTCTTCGCAGAGACTGTCAATTTTCCCATCCACGATTTTGTTTTATTGATCATTTTGCGGACCTAGTAAAACTATTACCTATTTACCTGATAATCAACGGGGATAAGCGGATGGTGTGGAGGGAATGCGCGAGTGGACCCCTTTCTGTGAACCAGAAGAGACGTTGGCTTTCCATTTACCCAGTGTTCCTCCACCTTGGCTATGTTATGCGACACGTCATAGACCACGTGCATATCTAAGTCGTCCGGCGTGGAGTTAAAAATTTTTGCAAAAGCCTGGGACGATAAAAAATAGCGACAGTAAATGACCCTGCCGAGATTCATAAAGCTCACGCATCAATTGTCCAAATTGCAAACGATTGCGAAAAAGTGTACCAACAGATAAAAACGGTACCTGGAATCCTCTGACACTTCATAATATTACAAGGTATTTGCTAGTCTGATATCGAAAACACGAAAGCACTAATCTAATCAAGGGATTTTGACTTCCTAAATGCAGTGTTCCGGATCTAAACTAAACAAAACGTGTACCACTATACTGGATAAGAACTAGTAGCAATGTATTTTCAGCACCTGGCGGCTAAGGAAGGTCATGGATGAGCGGTTGACCCAAGCGTAGTTAGCAGCTGCTGCCATCGCAGCCAGGTAGTTCTGGCCCTCAGGGGAATTGATGCGTGCACAGGCCAATTGCCTGTCATTTACTTCAATATTGTCGCGCTTCATGGCTCGTTCCATTTCCACGAGAGCGTCCGTCGCTACCTACAAAAAGATGCAGATCACCAGTAAAAGAAACCAATAAATTGGTCGGTGCAACAGCAGACCCAACTAATGGTGGTAAATTAAAATTACTGTTATATCGGAGCCTTGAGGCCAATCAGGGAATAGAATATTACAAAGCTGCGAGTAGTTGCGTGAGGGAAGCTAAGGATTCTTATATGAACAGAACAGGACATGAGATTTAACCGCACGAATACAACTGCGGTTAACTAAGAAAGTGAAACAAGAGGCATACTTGGGACCAGCTCCTCCTGGTTTACCAAAAATGTCTACAAATTGCACCTGAATTAATAAAGGATGCAATAAAACCAAAAAAATTTTGCTAATCGGCGAATGAAAGTGAAGACGCGTAAGGCCCACCTGATGCCCCATGCCTCTACTGCCACAATGAATCATCAGGACGACTTGATTAAGCTGATCGATGCCCATTTTCGAGGCAGCGTGACGGTCATATATCTCATCCACGACTTGAATTTCAGCATAGTGATTTCCAGCGCCAAGTGTGCCCAGTTGCGGCAGACCGCGTTTTTTTGCCCGAGTGGAAACCTTGCTTGGGTCTGCCTGCAACATACGCCCATATTCCTCGCAGTGCTCCTTATCGTCGGCCCATACGTAACCTAGGTGCATTACATACTGCAAAGTTCACATAAATGCGACTTTTCTAATGAATTCAAAGGAGAATAAGGCTAGGAAAATACTGAAAATGGTGGGAAATTACTATTAGTGATCCGAGTTTGGAAGTCACAAAATGTTTCGCTAAATTTAAATGAAGATACTAAATAACCCAAAATGGATGATTTTAATTTAATCATAAAATATCATATTGTGCCTTTTTTCCCTGAACAGATCTCTGCTTCTCTGAATAGACGCATGATCGCCATCACTATGATCCCAAATCACGTCCGTGATTTATCATCAAGACACAGTGAACACACAAAACACTTGTGAAGCCTAAAAATTACTTATCTGTTAGTATTCCTTTGGTCTAAAGGTTTATGGTCGTGTTAGGAGAGCTTCATCCCGAAAACAAGTGCAGTTTGTTCATGAACAAAGCAGCAGGAAAGAGAAGAACAATAACAAAAAATATGATAGAGTAGCGAACCCTCTCGAAGAGACCAGTCCATTCCCATCTCGAGCGCTTCATCAAGATTTTGCGCATTCATAGGAATGATCCCCTTAGAGCCCACGCCGACTGGAATGTGATCAAAGAGGGCCTGAGTTAGTTGTTCCTTCACAGGTAAAACGTCCTTCAGCGTGAGGTTAGTTCGAATTAGACGCACGCCACAGTTAATATCAAAGCCCACTCCACCAGGAGACACGACAGCCAATGGGTCCGTCATATCAAAAGCGGCCATGTTGCCTGGAAGAATTAAAATACAGAAAACAGGTCAAAAAATCGAAGAAACTGAAGGGACAAGCCACGATTTTAGATAAGGGTATGTATCAACTGTGTCAATCAATACTGGCTCACCATTTTAATATAAAGCCTAAGGAAATTCACAAGGACCACGAAATATGCCAGGAGTGCAGGTAAATGCCAAATTATGAAAAGTTGCCATCTTCTTAATGACCAGTCGCAGTGCTAATTAAAACTGGATAAAGTCATCGTCCTGCACGAGACCATAAACAGAGGGACACATTTATGCAACTAGTTTACGTTGAGTTTTATGACAAAAAATAAGCCCTTTCATTCCACCATGTGCAAACTTATTTCTTGTTATGTCAGCCATATATATAGGGAAAACTGCAACCTCTGAAGAATAGAAAACTGTGCAACCAAGCTTATTCATGGTCATACCATAGTTAAGATGTATTAATAATTCCCAAAAAATAGATGGATTTACCAAACAAATAAGGTCTGAGCGATTCACGCAACGATAAAAGCAATCTTACACTACCTTGAGAACGTTTAAACACTGAGAGATGCGGTAATAAAGCGTATATCACATACCGATGGCGAAACCGTAGCCTGAATGAACGTCAGGAAGGCCAACAGAGCGCTACAGAAAGAGGTTGCATTGTTAAAACAATAAAATTTACAAAAATGGAGAAGTTACTTGGAGTAGGGACTCACGTGAACGATTCCGGGTAGTGCGGCAACATTTGCAATTTGTTTCATTCCTGGCAGAAAACCGCCATAATCGCCACTTTGTGAAAACTGACGCAGTTCATCGAACATGAGCTTACACAGAAAATCGTTGACGTAAAACACACCCTCCACCTAAAAACGACAAACATGACACGAAGAACACAAATATTATATTTATGTGATGGTAAACGAAAAAAACTTCCGCTGATGAGCACAGACACATCGGCATGTTTCCTTTTTAATTTAGCGCTGGTCAAGGCACAAGCTCATAGACTACCGACATAAGGACGATTAATTCAGTGTAGTGGATGGGACAACAGTCATAGCACTGGACAATAGAGGCATTATTTCTACATTAATTTGAGGTGGCACATACACAAAATCTTATATTTAAACTTCAAAAAATGGTAATGTGCAATCATAAACTTCGGAACAGGGTGAATGACTACAAGCGTCAGAATGAAAACTGAACTATAACAGCACAGTTGGTGCTACTAAACATGATTTGCATTCGAAGTTACAGTTACTTAGGGCAAGTACCAAATTGCAAATTACAGCGATAATAAACGTTTAAGATGTACTTGAAGCTATAATGAATACTATTATTGAAAATTTAAAGCCTTATTTCATTAAGGTTAGTGCCAAACAGCCTATTGACTCACACATAATAAATGGAAGTCAAGCAAGGACTTTTCAAAGTTTTAATAAAACTACAAATAAGAAATGGACTCAGGAACTGAAGCTTTTAATAAATTGAAAAATGAGCTTTAAAAAGGAGGCAGAGACCAGTTCAACCCGCTAACAGGAGTACCTTTGAGATGTGGGAATCAGTATAAATTGAACACAATAGTACACAAATTTATTACTAATAGCAACAAATAAGTGTCTGTCAAAAATCAGTAATTCATTAGCAGTCGTTGAGGTTATGAACAGGCAACTCAGTTGTGGAAATGACAATAAAAATCTGTACGAGTAGAGAACATTTTCAATAAACAATCTCAGAAAAATGTAAAAATACGAGGCCTCGCAACTGAAAAATATCTATATAGAGGACTCAGGTCCAGGAAAAATTTGGTACCAACACGAGCATTCAACAATTAAAGTAAACGTTTAGCACCATTTCATTGGCAACTCAAATATACGACTAAGTGGAGCCGAACCTCAGTTATTTCAGGTAATTCGAACTCAGAGGAAATTTTACAATAGGATAGCGGCAAAAAATATCCTTAGAAAATACTTGCAGATCGCAAATAACCCTCTGAAACAAAAATTGACGGGACCAAACCCCTTGAAAGCTTCCAGGGATAAACAAACGGTTTGAGCCCAAACGTTAATGATTATAAATATGGGATTAAAGTGATTATTGTCTGCATAAGTGCATTTATGATATTAATTCCTAGCATGTTAACCGTGTTTTATTTAAAAAAAGGAACTTCCGTTACTAGTAGTTTATTTAGAGCAAGAGATTCACTGAAAGCTTGGATGAATACATCAACAACAACAACGAGACCAGAACAATGGGTGGCACACGAACAACATCAGCTTTCACATTTAAAGTATTTCCAACAGATATTCCAAACAAAGGGGTTTTCATCAGTTAAAGGAAAATAAAATTGGAGTATAATAAATTTTATTGGTATATTAGTGCTGCTCTTCTCTTAGCCAGGGCAATGTATGATTACGTACCTTCATGTTGGGAACGAAATCCTTCTTTATTTTCCAACAACATGGCGAGATTTTCTCTATAAACTCCAATTCCTCTTCGTACGACCTTGGCATGTTCTCTTGGCGGAAGCAAATCCGGTGTGGCTGTGGTGTGGTGTGGCGGCGAATTAGGGTGCAGACATGTTTGACCACCTGGCCGCAGCCAATCCTGTGTCCTCTGCGTTCCAATGGCATGCGAGGAAGGTAAGCAGCCAACTAGAGAAGGACATGGATGAGATGCAGTATATAATGAGCGGCGTGGCCAGCGCGGTGGACTCGGATGGAAGGCGCCTGACGTTCGGCTCTGGCTTCTGATTGGTCAATAAAGTCTGTTCTGTTGTACCGGTCTTTTACCTATTAGGGCTCGGGTATTTTACAGTGGCGTCGGATTAGAGCGCAGACATGTTGGACCACCTGGCCTCAGACAATCCCGTGTCTCTCTGCGATCCAATGGCATGCGGGAAAGGAAGGCAGCCAACCAGAGAAGGACATGGATGAGATGCAG